TGTGTTTTCTATTTTACCAGTCATATAGCTCTGGTGTAATATTTATGGAAATGTATAAAAGACAGAGTAGCTGAAGCAAACGCAAAATGAGCAAACAAAAAGAAAATTGCACAGCCAAGTAAAATATGGTTATAGTATAATATAAAGGAAACTATTTAGCATAGTAACCAATCACACGTTGGCGTTTTTGTTGTGTGCTCTAACAACAGCTGTGACAGCTGTAACCTGATTAGTTGAAATAGGCAACATCCCTACTTTTCTTTCCTCCATTTGTCAAGTCCTTTGTATAGACACACATGATTATCTACTTCCACTGTGCTTACATACTTGAATGTATAGTTTAGTTATTACAGGATGAATATCATTCAAACGCTACCTTCAGTGAGAGACTCTACCATTGCAAAATGGACTGTTCTCTAGACAGTATAAGTAGTGTGTGACCCATCGCACCAAATTTCAGTTCTGAAATGTAACAGTGACCCACAAATTTGAATACTATTGATGTTGTCATGCATATAAGCTACAGTCATGGCCAAAAATATTGGCACCCCTGCATTTTGGTCTGATAATGTAGCATTTCGGCAAGAAAACTGTTGCGATTACAATTGTTTAGGCATTCTCATGTTTATTTCTTTTGTTTGTATTGGTATTACACAAAAAAGTGGAGAAACAAAAAGCAAAATCTAACACATTTACGCAAAACTCCAAAAATGGACTGGACAAAATTATTGGCACCTTCTCAAAATTGTAAGAAATAATTTCATTTCAAGTTTGTGATGCTCCTGTAAACTGTAAACTCACCTGTATAAAGTCCATCTCCAGTGATCTCAGTGTTCCTGTGTTCACTGTGGACAACATTGTCAAGAAGTTTACAGTCCATGGCACTGTAGCTAATCTCCCTGAACATGGATGAAAGAGAAAAATTGATCAAACATTGCAACAAAGGACTGTTCGAATGGTGGATAAAAAACCTCGATCAACTTCCAGACAAATTCAAGCTGACCTTCAGGCACAGGGTACAACAGCTTGCACTGTAGGTTGCCATCCGAATGAAAAGGGACACTATGGTAGGAGACCCAGGGGGATTCCATTGCTGACACAGAAACATAAAAAAAACAGACTTGGAGCAGTTGGCGAAAGAAGAGTGGTCTAAAAATTCAGTAGAGAGGTGTAAGAAACTCATTGATGGTTACAGGAAGCAAGTGTTTTCAGATATTTTTTCCAAGGAGTGTGCTACCAAATATTAAATTGAGGCTGCCAATAAGTTTGTCCAGTGCATTTTTGGAGTTTTGCATGGAATGTGTCAGATTTGGCTTTTTGTTTCTCCACTTTTTTGTCCTACCAATACAAACATAAGAAATAAACATGAGAACGCCTACACATTTGTAATTGCAACAATTTTCTGGGTGGTGCATTATCTGACAGAAATGCAGGGGTGCCAACAGGGACGGACTGACAACTCATGGGGCCCCCAGGCAATAGGAGATCATGGGGCCCCTGTGTCCTTGCCCAAACTCAAAAAAGCCTATGAAAAAGGTACCAGGGGCATCTCATGGGGCCCCCTACTGACCCCAGGCCCTCGGGCAGTGCCCGAGTTTTCAAATGGTCAGTCCGCCCCTGGGTGCCAATATTTTTGGCCATGACTGTATATTATTTTGTTTCAGGAATGTGTTCAATGTGTTTTAGGAACTGTATTTAAAGTGTGGTTTCCCTAGGTAATTTTATGCTTTGTGGTTGCTCACTTAACTATCACTTGATCTAAGTAGAATTGGTCCCAAAAATGGTCATTCAAAAGGTGTATGGAACATGTATCCCAAGAATTTATTAGAAACAATAACTCAAATATATATCTATTATAACTTGTGTGTTGTAAGGGGATTGTATAAGCACAATAGGCAAAATATGAATCTCTTGGTAGACTGTAAAAAGGGAACATTATTAACGGAATCCTGCCAATCAAAGGGCTCACATACTCTCATTCTAATGACACATTGTATAATTATGAGACATTTCAGCCTAGAGAGGAAAGTGAGCCACATACCATAGGCAGCTTTAGCTGCAATGCCCTATACTGTACAAAGGATAGTTTTTTTAATGTTTCTGCCAGAGTTCTGATGTATTCCGAATTCACTTCTAGCATTACATTCAATCTTCCTGTCAGATATTAAGTAACACTATATCTTCAGATTGATAAAGCCATTTTTAAAATCGCAGGACATGTTTACTGATTGATTGAGCATATATATACATTTACCTTAATCTTTACATCGATGTTGATACAAATGATTCCCAATGCTTGTAATATTAAAGGAAACCTGCAATGAGAGGATTCTATAGAGCACTGCTGACCTCTCCTGAGGCTCCATGCTAGTTGCTTGTGTTTCTACGTGCACAAAATATACCTGGTTATTAAGATATATAAGGAGTACCACTAGGGATTGTTGAACCAGGGGTTAAACAGATTGCCTTATGAAATCATGCAGCATCCTCTGGGTCTGTTGAGGAGTTAGGGTTCTGTGCATGTGGGTTTTTAAAGTATTTCATTCTGCCTCTTTGGCTGAACTTGATGGACGTATAACTTTTTTTACATAATTTGGCTGTCATGCTGAACCAGTGGCTATCTGAGTTAGTCGCCCAGATCAAATATATACTTAAAGCATATCAACAACATGTGCTTCATATTTATCGTGGGTCAAGGACTCATAAAACATGACTGCCTCACATCAACAATAGTTGCCCTCTAAGTATTATATAAATTAGTTTCAAATAGTACATATTTGAGTCATTATTAGATAAAAAGTAAACCTTCTGTAACATTGCTTAGAAATTATTATGATTATACGAGGTGCGTTGAAGTCAAACTGAGACTTTTAATTTTACAGATATAAAAAGGAATGCTAGTTTGGCGGGTACTATATGCTGTAGTAAGTGGCAAGTGTATCCTATTACTGATAGGTGACGCACATGTCGTGGACCAATCCAGAGGCCAGTAATCTATGGCAGACAACAGTGTTAGTGCATGCTTGGACTAGCGTGTGGTGATAAAATTTATTGTGAATGAGGGCGTAAAACACACAGATATCTACAGAAAACGTCAAGCACAATACAATGATGAGATGCTCAGCTGCAGTAATACATTTGAATGGTGTAAACGGTTCAAAGGTCTTCATTGAGTGTCAAGTGGTGATTCCCAGCCCACAGCAGTCATTCCTGTGAACATTCATTGCATGGAAAGCCTGATCATGGATAATTGACGCATAACCTGTTGTGAAATTGCACAAAGAGACAAAACTTTCTATGGAAACGATGAACACAATGATGACGACGTGATGCAGGCTGTCCTAGGATGGTTTTTCAGGCGTACTGACAATCCTTTCTGTGCTGAAGCTTTCCAGGCATTAGTTAAATGCTGAGATAAGTGTATAAATGTAGTAAGGGAGTATGTAAAAAAAAAAAATAAATGTAGTTTTCACTCCTTGAAATTTGTTCTTTTGTTATGTAAACTCAAAAGTCTCAATCTGACTTAAACGTCTCTCGTATATCAATGAAGAAAAATACACTTTGATATTTTAAAATGAATCTGTTTTTGGAGCTCAGTCTAAAACAGTTAAAAGAACAATATCATTAGATATGACAAATGCTGTCATCTGATTTTTGGTCTTTCTCCAGATGACTGAAAAAGACGGTAATAGCAATCGCCTTTTATCTCAAATTAGTTTTCTCTGTTTCATATTCTGAATGAGCTGGCTTAAGATCCTATTTATACAGTTTTTTTTTCTTTTTACTGGTTTTAAACACCTGTACTTTGAAAGCAATCAAATTGTTTGTTATACAGAAGGAAAGATTATTTAATTTTCTGTCTTGAGTCAGATTCACTGAATTCTCAGAATTATACTTGCATAAGTATCAGTGCAGCAATATATTTGCTGTAACCATATTCCATCAAACAGAAACTACATACAGAATACTGTACATATGCTTTATCAAATGCTATGTTGCTTTTGAACAAGGGATGAAATCTAAGGTCTGGACCTAGCTTTGTAAACAGGGCTGGTGTATGGGTTAAGCCAATGAACAGGTTGCCACAGACCACAAGATCCCCATATTGTGCTTTAACATACATAGGGTATTTTTTGGCTATAAGCAGAAATTGTAATCCCTTCCCATGGTTTCCTTTTTCAACCAGTCTAAGTGCAATACCTGCTCTGCCAGGTGCTGTATAAATGTAAATTGGTAAACGTGAATCCATGAAACTACCCACACATTGTCTATAGATTACATTTTGTATCAGACACTAAGTAGACGTTTAGCAATCCATTTACTGAAATCATTTACTGTACCTGGCTTATTTCATATAGTGAAAAGCAACCCTGTGGAACAATTTCCACTAGTTGCATTGTTGGTTTTTCCTGAATTAATACTGATAATTTGCAGACTTCAAATGGTCTCTCGTACGAGTGAAAGTTACAATAAGACAACATGGCATTCTGCAAAATACTTGCTTCTGAGAACACATTCCACCATTAATGATTATGTACATTTATAACTGATTAAACAGACTTTGTTTTAAATTCATTATTGGAAATTAAGAAATTAAGGCAAAATAAGATTGTTACTGCAGTTAAGCCACATCAATTGCTATTAGTATTAATATGTAAAAGCACGTTTGCATTAGTTTTTTTCAAATGTTACTTTAAATTCATTGTAATATTTTGGCCTACTGTAGGTAAGTCCTCAGATATGAAAGTAAGAAAATGAATAGTGTGTGTAGATACTGTAAAGCACTCCTCTTTATCCACAGCCTCACAGGTTGTTTAGATGCACAGAATAGTCAGAATTGCAGCTTGCAATGCATATAGTTGAGCGGATTCCAAAGCTCTGCCAACATGACGTCATGCAAGCTAAAGAATCCATCTGAACATCGTGCTTTACTGTTCGTTCTGTACTGGCAGCCATATTTATTGGTATAAGCAGGTCTCCAAATACAACAGTTCCACAATTTAGACTGCTTCTGGTGTTATGGTCTTTATAAGTCTTGCCGCCCCTAGTATTTTGTTTATATGTCTCTCTTCTTTTATTCCAATGCCTCTTAAGTGAGTCTGAGAGAGAGCAGGCACTTTATTTAATGATGTGAATCCAGCTTCCAACAGAGGACGTGCATACATAGGAAGGCCAATTGATATAAGCCAGTCAGAAACAGATGAAATATATCCAGGAGATACGGGTTTTCTGCAAATCTCAGTTAGACCTCCACTTGGTATCTACAAAGAGGACGAATGGCAATAATAGTAAATTAGTAACAGCGCTGACTACGCACAAAAATATAATTTGGCTTTTTGTAAAAATGAACATTGCTGTAATAATTAATATTGCTGTAAAAATTAATATTGCTTCCTAAAAGCTTTTGTTGATACCAGATTTATGCTGGCAAAGCAAGTAACAATACAATTGTTCAATTGCACTAATTGGTTGATTTGATAAACAAACATTTTTACTGGAAAATAGGTTCTTTTCTTTGTTTAGCTGAATGATTGTTTTCAATCAAAAGGTCATCTGGTACAATCCTATCTAAGATAAACTAATGGTATGTCATTATGTGTAATACCAGCTTTAGCGTCTAAAGACCTGCAAATATGTAGTGCTCAAAGAAATTACATTTCTGGAATTATGGATCAATGATATTATACTTCTTCTACGTTATCCTAGGGTGCTCAAGTACAATAGAAACATATTTTCCTCTACCTGGGAATGTTCCAAACTCTCCAAATATCTCTGCAAATGAAACTTCAGTCTGCAGTCTGAAGTATTATGAATTACAATGACAGATACAAACTGTCTTATTCAGTAGATGAAAGCAATATTCAGAGTTCAGTAAATCATATAAACTAATTCAAACTACTCATTAATTGATCTGAATATAGTAAACAAAAAAAAAGCATTTGAACGTATTTTAAAGCAGAACCCAAACAAGATAAAATGAACAGCCCATATGAAGAAAACAAAAAAAATGAACTGGCCTTTGCTGCATTATTTAAGTTCAATCCAGAGATTTCTCCCACAGAAACTTTTTTCTGCCACTAGATGTCCTAAGTCTTATGGTCAGCATTATTCAACCCACTTCCTGGACCTTCCCCAGCCTGTGACTGGAGAGTGGAAGGAGAAGCAGAACACTGATGAGCTCATCTCTCTGTCACTTTGCTTTCTCTTCCTATCAGCATACTTCCTGTCAGCACATGAACTGATTGTCTCCTTGTACTGCTTTTTTTTCTCACACTCCAGCCATGCTGTAATGACTCATCAGGCCAAATTTTGGCACCTAAACTGCTTTTTAATGATGTAGTATAATTACAAAGTTGCATTAATTTGTGTCACTTATATCTGCATGGTGTTCAGATTCAAGGTTATTTACTGAATAAGCATTCTAGTGTTGTCTCTGCTCTGTGTACATCTATCTCAGGGTAGAAAATGTATAATATGCCATTTTGTAGGACAGCAATATCATTCTTTCCTAGTTATACATTCTCCTGCATCAACATAGCCAAAAGTTGGTAACATTGGGCTGGGGTGAATCAGCGTGGATAATAATATAGGAGATGCCATTGCTGACATATTTTTAAGTGCAGTCCCAGAGCTGTTACTCCGAACTTGGCTTTGTAACCTAGTCTTCCATTTATCAAACATGCAGGAAGTGAAGTCTGACAAGTCCGAACTCCCATCCTGCCCATTTGCTCTTCTCTATGCCACTCCTGGCATGCTTTCTGAACAAAACCTCATGCAGTGTAAAATCATTAAAGACATGGAGCACAAACTTCCTTTGCAGTTGTCATGGATACAAGGGTGTAGAATATAAGTTTTATTACCAGTTTTAGAAAATTATGGCTAGTTTTCTTGGAGATTGAAGAAACGTAGTTCTTAGTAGCACTAGATTGCAAAATTATTTATGTAGCAATTATATAAGGTCTTCCTTAAAGCCTTGTACATATTTAAAACTAATAGTAAAATAGCATATAGTATTGATTTCTGCATAGCTATGAATCAAACCCATAAAATTTGTTTAGCTGTTATACATGAAAAGTAAGGTAATTTTTTTTTAAGATACAAGATAATTAAGATAGGATGATAGGAAAGTTATGTAGGGAACACTTACAGCCATGCGATGCTGTTTTCTCAGAAGTCTAACACGAATCTGGTCCATCCAGCCTGCAACATCTTTGACCGGTTGACCCAAGTCTTCAGCATATCGTTCCACTAAGGCTTCTGGGATACCACAGCGACCATGCTACCACAAGAGAAAAGTTATAGTGAATTTTTCATGACCACCATAAAAGCAAAAAAGGGTAAGCAACAGATTTGAATCTCCTAAATATGTGCAAGCAGTTCTCTCTAATTTATGGAGAATCAAGCAACTCCACACGATTTTGGCTTGTGAATTGTATGCACACATATATTTAAACTAAACAAAAAAAAGGCAAAATTCATTGATTTTTCGACATTGCAAATTAATTTCCTCCTCGCTCAGATTTTTTTTAAAATGGAGTGCTAAATACTGTTTTAAGTATGCTAAATTGAAACACAATAAGTATGATTGAAAGGCCACCTTAGTGTACCTTAAGTGCACTTTAAAGAGCCTTAGAGTTTATTTCCACATTTTCTGTCAAATTTGAGAAGATATTCACATGTTATGTGTTTCCAACCACACATCACAGCTACAAATAATTTAAAAAATATTTCTTACATTTTGGATATTTGTTTGGAGCACACCAATGGGCAGACTGCAAGCTACCCTGAACTATTTCACAGTGATTCTGTCCCCACTGGCAAAGAGGGACACACCAAGCTTGCTCTCATTAGCATAAAAGGGCAAAAGTCCAGCTTCTAGATATTTAAGTCTTTGTTAGGGAAGACAATGATCAAATCTAATTTACAGCTGATAATGAATTTTTCCAGGAGAGTACAGACAATGTTATGTTGAACATTAACTTTCAAGCCCCTCTCGCATACATTACAATAAAATAATAGCTAAGTAGGATTTTTCAGTCCTGGATTTTTTGGAAAAGACTACTTAAAAAGGTAAGCAGACATTTTCAAATATTAAGTTATATTAAGTTATGCATGCTATATGAATGGAAATATGTAACAAATATAAAACAGGTGTTGAGCCAATTTAGCTGCAAAAGTGGACATCCACTTTAAATGTTATTTCAGCTTAAAGAATCAGGGCTTTAAATTTACAACAGAACACAGAACTTTAGAACGATGATCTTGAAAATATTTACATTTACACTAAATTATGGATTTCTTCTGGCTGAAATAGAAAGTAATTTCTAATGCCCCCTTTCACATGGGTGGATCCGATCGGACCATCCATTGCCCTCTATGGAGAGGCAGATGTAAACAGACATGTAACAGTTTACACCCACCTGCCTCCTATCCGGTCAGATCCGCTGAAACCAGACTGACGGGATCCATTCACCATCCATCTAACAGATCGGACCAGATGACAATCGGATGTAAAACGGACAAGGCAATCTATTTACATCCCACAGCCCATACAGAAAAGCAGGCTCTGTCCGTGTCAGCTCTGCATAAGTGGAGCGGACACGGACTTGTCATCCTCCTGCTCATTGGGGATCAGCGGACAGATCCCCTGCTGAACACACATACCTGCTGGTGGAGTCCGTCCATGTGAAAGGGACCTAATAGTTAAAGCACAAAATGGCCTGTTTTGGCATTATATATGCTATATGAAGATACAATAAAAGGCCCTTCTTCTCCAAATATCACACACCTTCTTGTGGAAGAAACTAAACTCAAATTTAGATGGTTTTTGCACAGAACATAAAAGCTGCATGTGCATCGATCTCTTAAAAAGTGTTATGTGGATCATGCGTTTTGGTGCATTACAGTATGTAGGGGGCATGGTTTTCCTTGCTTTTTAACACATTTTCTGAAAGTGTTTTAAGTACTTTCTACTGTTTGTGTGATCATAAATGCAAAGGCATGCATGGTGCATTTAACATGCAACATAACTTATTTCAAAAAAAGACGAAGCAAAACTGCAGCTTGCTGCAGAGAAATGCATCTGTGAGAACTATACCACCAAGCAGGACAGTACAGAACTCTTTATGAGGTTTAAGAGCAGTACAAATTCAGGAGTCTCCCTTATGTCACAATTCAACAGCCTAGTAGGAAGAAAAAAAATCCAAATGTGTTCTGCTGTTAAATAATATTCAATAAAGTGCAAAACACTAAATAATCAAATCAAATATTATTATATCAAAATACATAAATCCAACAATATTTCCTTATAATGATCCATATGACTTAATCGTGAATAAACTCCATCCAGTCGTGCTCAGTGTATGTTTCAAATAAACGGGAAATAATCTTGTGCTTCCAATCCACACTGTTGTGTATATCACCCTGTGCAAAAAAGCCTTTTACTAGAAACCAAGACCTCGCAGGCAAGGTCTAACAGCGCTTTGGAGAAATTCCGACCGTAGATGGATGGATCAACACTCGGATTCCAACGGCAGTCGGCCCTTGCTATAAGCAATATGACCCCACTCACACACTGCCGTCAAACTTCCATGGTCAGGGACAAAATGAACAGCATACCCGCATGTGAAAAGGAAGGGGATCACTCATGGTGCAATATTTAAAAAACAATTTATTTAAAAAAAGACTTATATGTACAAACAAATAAAATCATAAGACACATATCGATTGTAAAGGTGGGATGACGCCACCGCTAAGTCTCCATCGGATGCGTTTCATCCTAAAGGATGTCGTCACTGGGGCAATCTATGTTTATTTGAAACACAGACTGAGCACGACTGTTTATGAGTTTGGTGAATAAACTTGTTCACAATTAAGTCATATGAATTATTATAATGAATTATTATTGGATTTATGTATTTTGATATAATATTTGTTTAGTATTTAGTGTTTTGCACTTTATTAAATTTTACTTATTTACAGCGCAACACATTTGAATTTATTATTAGTTTGTGTATGGGTAAGTGGGAGGGTACAGTGAGTGCAGCTGTTTATTTAATGAATTAGTGTAATAATTTTATTTAGGCGCTTAGTGCAGTATAACAGCTTTGGTTTTGCCAGTGGGGAGAAATGTGTGGATGTGCATTAAATGTGTGGATGAGGGATTTAGGTTACTTTTTTTCATTCAACCTCTTGGTTGAATGTAAGAACTGACCCTTGTATAACCATATTTAGTAAACCAATCTGGCATGAAAAACATTTAATGTGGCCCTTTAGCCTTTCATCTCCTAATACAATGCTAGACACATAATTCCAGCTACACAAAACACAATACCAAAGTAAACAATCAACTCCACCTCTTTCCTCCCTAGAGATGGAATCAACCTGAGGAAACAATGTAATGTAGAGCAAGCTGTATGGTACGGCAGTTCAAATAATTAATTTCTCTTCTGATAAAAGAAACTTCACTATACTTCAAAAGAACATGTCAGTTTTACTAACAAAAAAGTACAAAATAAAGCTGCCTGCTGTATCTCCTATTAAACAGAAAATTCTGATCTCTGTGCCTGGAACACCCTGTTACTAGATACCTGACTTTCATGATTACTGAAATTAGTCGTTACTCCACAATTCAAAATCATAAGTCGCTACACCACCCCCCTGGTGATATGAGTACTGCCATTGACAGCTAAAATGCGTTAACTGCATAACAGACAGAGGACATACAGGGCTTAACTTTCGAAGTATCTTATCTCAAACTCTAGAGAAGTGGAGACCCATGTGGGACCTACTGTAAGGCAGAAACTGTATCCTGCAAACATTAAAAGATATGGCAGGCCTGGATGATGTGCCCCTTGTGCAAAGTGGCCCCAAAATGTAAAATTTTAGGTTCATGTTTACAGATGAGTCTGTTATCAGATAAATACAACTCCACTATTTAGGAGCTGCATACAGGCCAGGATTTTTGGGACAGGCGCAATCATATGGAATACAGGACCATATTTCTTGATTAAATTTCTGATCTTATGAGCTGTTTATGTGCCATAAAACAGAAGAGTTAGGCCACTGACCAGCTGCAGATGTGAAAGCAGTTTCTCAGATTCCAGATTGAACAAGCAAAAATGTATAGAGTCATGTATATTAACTCTAACAGCTTGTGCCTACAGTTGTGCTCTCACCTACTTTTAAATAGTACTCAGAGGCAGCATCTAAAGACATTGTGATGACCACTGATGTATTTGAGGATCACATTCTCTTCCATAATTTTGTGGGCAGGAAGTGCTGGTGGTACTATAACCACTTTCAGGCTGCCCACCCGCAATGTACTGCAGACGGGCAGCAGCTACAGGACCAGCGTCACTGATCTTTTGCCAACACGGGGGGCTCTGCGTGCCAGAGCGGGCACGCAACCCCCCCCCCATATTCTAATGAGAAATGTAAAATATATGTTTTTTAACTACTTGCCGCGGGTGAGTGGTGGCTCTGGGCAAAGTAATCTTACGTTGCTTTCTATTTCCAGGTGTGCATGTGCATGCATGCGCCCCCAGCTGGCCCCTATGCTGGCCAGGGAGAGAAGAACAAACCCGGCACTGAGTAAAAGCTCTACATTTTACACACATTAGATTAGCACATTTAACTTTTTGATCGCCCCTATTAACCCTTTGATCACCCTGTCACCCAGCCAGTCCATTAGTACAGTGTCAGTATATAGAATATTTCACTATACACTGTATTACTGTCACTAGTGACATCAGATAGCAGCAGGGTCAGTTAGTGCCCCTCCCAGCCAGGGTCAGCTAGCGTTAGATTGCCCACACACTATTGCACTCACGCTATAGTGTTTTTTATAGATCAACATATTGATCATGAATAGAACTATACTAGTGCCTCCTTGGTATAGTGTCCCTAAAAACACAGTGTTAGCAGGATCACCCCTGTTCACTGCCAGCACTAGCATTTAGCCCCACCACTGTTTTTCAGGGAAGAATGGTATCAATTGATTGTGGGCCAAAGCAATTTATATGCACAACTATACATTGCCGCCCACCCAAATTCAGCTTTTACCAGACAATTTGCATGGAAACATATCACGGCTTCTGAATTAAAAACTTTTTTGGGCCTAATCCTCAACATGGGCATTACAAAAAAAGAATGAATTGCGGTCATATTGGCCCACAGACCCGATTCATCATATGTCCATGTTCTCTGCTGTTACATATATGCCCAACATGGACCAGCAACCTACTGGTATGTTGCTGGACTTTGAGTGGTTATACTTGGATGATGCCTGCAGCTACAGGCATCATCCTGGTATAATTTGTTTCACCCGGCAGTCAGCTTTCATGTAAAAACAATCTTAGCCACTAATTAGCTACTGGATTGTTTTTACAAGCAGCGTTAAGGGACTCCCCCATCCCTCCCGCTGCCTTCCAAGGTTTTCTTGGGCTCTCCCATCACATACGGGAACCCAGAAATGCAGCTGGCAGTTCTGCTCGCTGATAATAGAGCTGATCGGAGACTGGAATGCCTCCAATCACCTCTATGGTCTAAGAGACCGGAAGCTACGAGCATTTCATAATTTCTGTTTTGCCAGATATAAACAGCGCCAATCTTAAATTGGGAAAGCATCAGATCACACCGATCTTGTTGTGATCAGATGCTTTAAGGTCAGAGGGGAGATCTAGAGTCTATTAGACCACAGATTTCTCAGCAAAGAGTACCTGTCACTACCTATTGCTATCACAGGGGATATTTACATTCCCTGTGATAACAATTAAAGTGATGAAAAAAAAAAAAAGGAAAGAGACAGTGTAAAAATAATTAAATAAAGCAAAATAAATAATTTAAAACAAAATTCCCCCCCACCCGCATCCCTGTGCTCTTGTGCGCAAAGGCAAACACAGGAGGCGGTCCCGTGGTGGTGTGTAAACAGAGACTGCACCATGCATGTGAGGTATCACCACGAACGTCAGGTTGAGGGCAGTAATTCTAGCACTAGGCCTCCTGTGTAAATCTAAAGCGGTGACCTCTAAAGACTTTTAAAATGTCGCCCATGGATATTAAAAATGTACATAATTTGTTGCCATTGCACGGCCTGGTGCAATTTTAACGCATGTCATGTTTGGTATCCATTTACTCAGCGTAACATCATCTTTTATATTTTATCAAACAAGTTGGCAATATATTGGTGTTGATTTACTAAAGGTAAATATACTGTGCACTTCAAGCGCACTGCAAGTGCAGTTGCTTTAGATCCAAGGGGAAGCTCTGAAAAGAGGTGAAGCTCTGCTGATTTCTTTCATCCAATCATGTGCAAGCAAAAATGCTGTTTTTTTATTTTCCTTGCATTTTCCCCTCAGATCTAGAGCAACTGCATTTGCAGTGAACTTGCAGTGCAAAGCATATTTTCCATTAGTAAATCAACCCCATTTTGTGTTTTTGTGCATTAAAGTTCTAAAAAGTGTATTTTTTTCCAAACAATTTGCATTTAAAAAATTGCTGCGTAAATACTGTGTGACATAAAAAGTGTCAACACCCACCATTTTATTTTCTAGAGCCTCTGCTTTAAAAAAAATATATAACGTTTGGGGGTTCAAAGTAACAGTTTTTTCAAGTAAACAGAAAGTGTCAGAAAATGCTTTGGTGTTCAAGTGGTTAGAAAAGTGGGTGATTGAGCTAGCAGAGGCTCCACCACCAAAAGAAAAAAAGAAAAATGGGTGATATCTGGCATAAGCTTCTAATGTTGTCCCTGAAATGTCAGGATAGTAGAAGCACACCCCCCCCCCCCAAATGAACCCTTTTTGGAAAGTAGACACTCCAAGGTACTTGCTAAGAGGCATAGTGAGTATTTTGCAGATCTCATTTGTTGCCACAAGTTTTTGGAAAACGAAGAAAGAAAACGAAAATTTATTTTTTCTCTTCTTTTATTATTTTTCAAAACTCTGTGACAAAACGAGATCTGCAAAATACTCACCATGCCTCTTATAAAATTCCTTGGGGTGTCTACTTTCCAAAATGGGGTAATTTAGGGGGTGTTTGTACTATTCTGGCATCCTGGCATTTCAGGGCCTCCAAAACTGTGATGGGTAGTGAGGAAATGATATGAGGAAATGTGCCCTTTGAAGGCCTGGAGGTGGTCATTGGATTTTGGGAGCCTGTATGTGGCTAGGCTACCAAAAAGTATCTCACATGTGGTATCCCCATATTTGGGAGAAGTAGCAGAATGTGTTTTGGGATGTTATTCCACATATACCCATGGCATGTGTGAGCAATATATAGAGTGACAACTTTGTGTAAAGAAATAAAATGTTCCATGGACTCAACATGCCTCTAAACAAATTCCTTGGGGCGTCTACTTTCCAAAATAGGGTCATTTTGGGGGTTTTTTGTACTGCCCTGGCATTTTAGCACCTCAAGAAATGTGGCAGTCAGAAAAAAAAGCTGCATAAATTCTAATATATATATATACCACAGTTTGTAGACACTATACCTTTCACACAAACCAATTAATATACATATATTAGGATTGTTTTTTTACCAAAGACGTAGCAGAATACACTTTGGCCTAAATTTATGACTAACTGAGTTTACTATATATTTTTTATAACCGAAAGTAAAAAATATAATTTTTTTTTTCAAAATGTTCAGTCTTTGTTTATAACACAAAAAATAAAAAACCCATTGGTGATCAAATACCACCAACAGAAAGCTCTATTTGTGTGAAAAAAGGACATACATTTTGGGTACAGCATTGCAGGACAAGTTAAAATAGCGCAGTGCCGAATAGCAAAAAATGGCCTGGTTAATAAAAGGGGATAAATATTCTGGAGGGCAAGTGGATAACACTGACCTGTGCATGCTGGGGCAGCATGGTTGAGAGGTTTCCAAGCAGTATGTAAGAAACTGATAACACTATGGGCAACAGCAAAGTAAGTAAGCTACATTCTGCTGTCAAAATCATATGACAAAATTGTTCAAATATATAAAAAAAAAAATAGAAAACAATAATACTAACAATACAAAAATGATATGAGTATATAACATACTTATTGATGACTGGTAAGGTTATATGGCTGTAATGAGACTGTTCATTTTTAAATTTGCCTACTGTGTAAAGAGATTTTATTCAATGCTTAAAGCATAAATATCAAATGTTTGTGGCTGTTTTTCACATGTGTTAGCATTGTTTATGTGTCACAATTGGAGAATGTTAGTGGGTCTGTTTTTACAGTATGTGAAAATAGTACATATTTATTGTTTCTAGGTCTCTGTCTCTAAGATTTTATCTGACATAGTCACATCATGTGTTCCCCTAAAGGTCCCAAAATGATCAATGTGTACTGTTTTAAATGGAGTACAACCTCGCAGAGCCTAAATTGTTCTGTGATATTTTTATTCTTTCAGTTCACACTTTTGTTAGTAGAGAAGTTCGTCTATGCTAAATCTTCTTTGCAGGTCTTACTGTCTACTGCTTCCTTTCCAATATCTGACCCTAATTTTTCAACATCCAATGGGTATATTGGGTAACCCATTCAAGGGGAATGGTAGCAAAGAAAGTGACAAACAGACAACTGTCCTATGTTTGTAAGAGTCTATTTGCCTTTGGTTAATTATTTCTGTGGTCAGTGCAATACACTACATTCATCTTCTAAGATCTATGGATACACCATCAAAATTTAATTTTTTTAATGTCTTCATGTGTTTACACAACATAAAAATAATCATAACCAAAACAAAATGTATATCAGCTTTCAACGGCAGGTGAATGACAGCAGTTTTAATTACCTTATCTGAGTACGGTTCCTCTGTAAGATCAATTTCCTCATCCTGCAGCTTGTTGTCTATTAATAATTCCTGATCCATTCCTCTGGCAACAGCCATCTTTCTGGCTGACACAGGACCCAGTTTTACAGCATGTTGTGGAACATTTGAAGTATCTGGGGAATTATGAAACCATGACAGGCGTGAGGTGGTTGGAGAAACACACTCTTGGGCAGGAAGTACAGAGCATTCATTTGGTCCTGATAAGCCTGATTTTATAGTAGGAAGACAAGATTCTTTAGTATTGGAAATAGTAAGACTGAGAGGAGGTTGGCTCATGCCATTAGCAAATCGCTCTTTGCATTTTTTGGCAGGAACTGGGGGAGGTTGTGCAGGGTTTTTTGCAGATACCCTGGGCTCTACAGTTATCATTGGCTTGTCCGTAGATACATGTGAAAAATCATTTGTGTTTTGGACTGTGCAATCTTTATCGTGGCTTTGTATATGAGATGTCCTTGCAATTTCAATACGCTCAACAGCCCTGCCATGTGCCACAGTGTCCATATTGCAAGTTATTTTGTCATGTAGATCTCCTGTTTCCTCCTCAAAAAAACTACTAGATTCTGTTTTATCTGGTGAGAAAACAACTTTGTTTTCATTAATACACTGAAGTTCATTTCCTTCCTTTTGAAGATTGTCCAGTGAGTGTGATCTGGGCCAGATCTTTAGAGATTTCCGTCCATCCTGCTCGTTACTTGCACAGACCCCAACAGGCAGACTTCTTCTGTTCTTTTTAGTTCCTGTAAGGTTGAATAACTTTGTATAGAAAGTGTGATCATGAAGCTGTCCGACATTTTCATTGGCTCCCTGTGTTACTTCTCTGGTCACCTTCAGACCTGGGTAGTCTGTGAGCTGAGTAGTGGAAGGCTTAGGCAATAATGGAGAAGTCACTGGACTTTTGCCTATAAATAAAACATATTACAGTACATAACAGTTACTTTGAGATGGAGGTCAAACATTATAGTTATTACATTAAGTACATATAGAAGTGTTCATTACCACATCATAAAAATTTGCCGTAAGTGAAAATGCATCATCCAACTTTGATTTTATTAAAGTGTTGATGTATTTTCACTTTCTCCACATTTTAGGCTTATGGTGTGCCAGCTTTCCTTGCATTATTTAATTGCTTTAAGTGCAACTCTTGCCAAAGATGGACATCTTATATTTGGTTCATTAGAAATATTACAGGAATGTCCATTGCTTTAGACATTTTTTATCTATAACTAGTAGTTTAGCTGTTTTTAGCAGTTTATTATTTTATAGCCTAGTATTACTATTGTGTTTAATAGCTGTAGGCCATAAACAATACAGACACCCTTTAAACCTGGTATACTACAATGGGCAACTAAATCTCTCTTTTGCTGCTTTTCTTTAAACTTTTTTTTAAATCTGCTTAAATAAACCCTGTTTTCTTTCATACCATTGGTTCTTAGTTATTTGTTGTAGTCTGTGTAGTCAAAATAAGCCTGTCAGTACTATCTGAGTGAGAGGTAAGGGAGGGGGGGGGGCAAGAATACTACCAATAAATTGGCTCTACCACCTTTCAAAAGTCAGGTTGTTGTAATTATCTTTCAGCTGATTCGTGATATACTAGCTCATCATAGTGAGACAGGTTCACTGCTGAGCACTGCTTGGACTTGCTGGATGTATCAGCCCAAGACTCAGGACAAAACAGACTGCAGAAGAATGCATCTAAATAAATGTGCAGGCACCATTTGATGTCTGCATTGTAGAACTTGCAAAATATATATTGAAGGATTAGTCATAACATCAGTAGGCCTGTCATTAACATAGAAAATGATAGGTTGTCATTGTAAAAGTGGTAAAGACAATTTTTGAGGTTTTCTTGGCCCTCACTTTCCTCTTACTAAATGTTCTGGTCATAATTTGTACCATACCATATGACCAAAGTACCATGATGAATCCTCATGCATGGCAGGCCTGTTAAGTAATTAATGGATGGTACAATATTTATTTGTAACAGAAGGAATGTTTATTGAGACATTTTGCCAATGTACATGTGAATTGTAGTAGCAATACAAACATGTTTATGAGCTTCAAAAAAAGAAAATATATAGTAGATTGCCCACAATAAATAGTCAAGTGCAAATGTTACAGAGATGAGAAACAGCATATTTCAACCTAAGGCTGTGCAATTAGGGTGGTAGCTATCTTTTCCTTGTTCCAACCTCCCGAAGGGAAAGGAGAGGAAAATGGGGGGGAAGAGAGGAGAACATAGGCAGGTATAGGGAATAGAACAGGAAAGAATGGGGTGTAGATGGGAGGGAGAGTGGGAAAGACTAGAGAGGGGTGTACAGCAAGTAAGGGTCTACAGCTGTATGCTCCCTGAAGAGATATCTTGGGTCAAGAGGAAATATATTTTTTTAGGTTAGTAAAAAAGGAAGTGACCAAAAGTCAGAGTGTCATATTGTAAGGTTACTAACTTCTACGCAAGATGACCATATCTTATCAAACGTCTTGGGGCAGTTATGCCCCATATAGATCAACTTGTACATGGGCAGGGTGGCATTAATCATGGATCTCCATGCAGACACTGTCTGAGATTCTAACAGCTTGCACTTAGACAAAACTAATCGCATTAATGTCAGCAAGCACTGTCCACCAAAAGGTTTGAAGCAGCGAACAGAACCAGACCATATGTATAAAATTTCCTACCCCTCGGTTACACTTAGGGCAAGTATCATTGTTGGTGTGGTAGATGATGGGAGGTGCAATATTTACATGTGTCTGTAATGGTGGAAGACATGACTGTAGCAGATGAAATCATGAGAAAAAAAGTAAATAATGCAATCTGCCAAGTTGAAAAACCCTAGATAATCTCATATTGAATAAAAGATTCTACACTGAACTCTGTGATCACTGTTCTATAGCTTCAGTTGAAAATTCAATCAACATCCAATAATTATTGTCTCACACAAGTCCTGAGAAACTGTTTAGTGTAGCAAAGAGCTAACTACCAAACCTACACTGAAGAAAAAAAAACAGGCAACTAGATAAAAAGTGTAATCTAATTGATTCTTCTTTTTTTTTTTTTAAACACTCAACTATTATAAAATGTAGAAAAAATTACTTTAGGCTACTTTGTTTATTTTTTGTTAAATAATAGTTTAGACAACATACAGGGCCATATGCTGCTAGTTGGTCTGGGGAAACAGTACAGAAACAGCTCTGCGAGGAGTGTGTTTCATGTATGGCAACAGTAACAAAGCATCACCTGGAAACTTGCAAGAATGATGAAAACTGGCAGGAATGCGACAGCATGCTGCCTGAATCACCACTTTAATCCAGTTATGGTATAATGCAGGATGTATAATAAAATAGATACAGTGCAATGACAGGGTGGCAGAATGCCATATAGCTGTTCCAATTGGTCAACAGGTGTCAGCTGCTCAGAAAATGACTTGACAGGCCTGCATGTACATTTTTCCAGAGTGAGGTGTATATCAGAAGCATGATCATATGGAAAACATATAGTGGTGAAAGCATTTTAATAAGCCTGGGCTGCTCAGGAAATTTCATAGAAGTAATAGCATACACCAGGTATTTATTCTGTTGTGCCAAAATGTTTGTTTCATCCTATGCACTTAAGCGCTTTTGTATGTGTTGAGTGTAACTATATTCAGTGCTGCTCAAGATCTTAAATAATAACATTGCCAGGATTGCCAAATGTCCAGAAATGTACAAAGTCCACTAAAATGCAAGCTGACTGAGGTTGTCCATAAGTCTGGAAAAAATGTAAATGTCTGTAAAAAAGTATGAACTCTTTTTCTGAATTTGAACACAAGCCAACCACAGGCTTGAATATTTATATTTTAGATGCCTCCCAAATAGATGTTAGACAGTTTCACTAGTATCAATTTAAAATGAACCTGTTTACTGAGTACATAACTGAACTAAATGGTGACTTTTTTTTGGACCGAGAACACATGACAGTCCTATCTAAATCTTTGTAACAATGGATATAAATCCTCCTGCGCTGCGAGTACCCCTAGAGTGGAAGAGTTGCAGCAAGCACCCAACCGTGATCCAAACAGTGTAAGAAAATTTAATAGCAACTGATGCTGCGCTACTCAAAATTTCCAACAGAAATAATATACCCCTCAAAACATTAAATGTAATCAAAAGAGTGTAAATCACACACAAAAATGTGACCAGAATATAATAAGCAAATAAATGTTCATAAATGATTAAATGCAGTGACTTAGAAATAAGTAGTGACCAATATTCATATGTGAAAACATGAATATTGTGAATACATAAATATTAATATAATGTAAATAAACATCAAATATATAAATTGTGAAAAAATAAAGTACCAAGTCCCAATCAGTGTATATATCTTCAACAAACTGTGAATCAACCAGTGACCACTGCAAAAATCCTCCACCAGCTAGCGTGTGCACTCACCTCCAGCCTTGACCCATAAAGGGTCATACACGCTTTAAATAGAAATGCTCAGCAATAGTATCCTTTCATATCCCCTCAATATAGTATCAGGGAAATCCTTTTTTGATTACATTTAATGCTTTGTGGGGTATATTATTTCTGTTGGAAATTTTGAGTAGCACAACATCAGTTCCTATCTAAATCTTTACAGCCATACTACTTATCAGCATGGGTGTCCTCTCCCGAGACTCCATCCCCACACTGCTGATGTTCTCACTGCAGGGCAGAGGGTGGACGACAAGGAAGGTCCGGACAGAGGAGCTGCCTATTTTTTTAGGTTAACAAGCAAGTTATAGGTTGCAAAGATGCTTGGCCAGTTCTTGGATAAGGTGACTGCATTAGTTTTATTTTTATGAATAAAATAATTTTAAGCAAATGCAGGAAACACCTGTTGAGCTTGCAAAAAATGGAGTGTCCCTATTGTGTAAATTGCTAATCTTTCCACCCCCACGCAATGGAGACGAACAAAGGCAGGCATGTTTAATATCAAGCCTGAAACCTGAAGAAAAAATAAAACTAATGAAGCTACTAAATCTAAAGCAGCCCATAGATGTCGGCTCGGTCATGTGATCAGCGGTGTCCAATCACAGCTGATCACATGTAAACAGGGAAATGCCGGTTATCGGCATTTCTCTCCTCACAAGCTGTCACGCTGACAGCTCGAGAGGAGAGGAGAGCCGGTAATCGGCATTCCTCAGGGGGGACATGTACACAGATCATCAGAGCACTGATGATCAGTGTGCCCTGATGATCTGTGTAGCCCTGGCAGTACCACCTGTCAGTGTCCATCAGTGCCAGCTGTCAGTGCTCATCAGTGCCACATCAGTGCCACATTTCAGTGCCCATCAGTGCCACATCAATGCCACATATCAGTGCCCATCTGAGCTGCCTTTCAGTGTCACCCATCAGTGCCAGTCAGTGCCCCCTATCAATGCCAGCCAGTGCCACATATCAGTGCTGTCAATCAGTGCCACCTATCAGTGCCAGTCAGTGCCGCCTATCAGTGCCAGTCAGTGCTGCCTATCAGTGCCGCCTAACAGTGCCAGTCAGTGCCGCCTAACAGTGCCATATATGAGTGCTGCCTTTCAGTGCCCATCAGTGATGCCTGTCAATGCCCATCAGTGCCACCTACCAGTGCCTACTCATCAGTGGCCATCAGTGCTACCTATCAGTGCCCATCAGTGCAGTCTCATTAGCGCACATCAGTGAAGGAGAAAAATCACTTGTTTAAAAAAAAATTAAACAAAAACTAAGAAAAAACTTTTTTTTTTTAATTTTCAATGATTTTTGGTTTGTTTAGGAAAAAATAAAAAACCCAGAGGTGATTAAATACCACCAAAATAAAACTCTGTCACAAAACAATTATAAAAATGTCATATGGGTACAGTGTTGCATGACCGTGCAATTGTCATTCAAAGTGCAACAGCGCTGA